CAGAAAAGCTTTATGGAAACAGAGAAGGCCAAATAGGTATTTAATGCACTTGTGTGTTCCTCTGTTGTTTAGTAATGCAGGTAGATCTGTATGTAAAAACTGTTGTATGTGTGTTTACTTGTAGTTCCATCGAATTTAACAAATTTACGAACTTACCAAACATCGAATTTACGAACTTACGAATCAAGTCACTGTAGAGTAATCATAATCGAACAAATTTACTGAATCTAACAAATTTATCAATCTATCGAATCAACCCAATGTAATACGAATTAAACCATTGTAATATGAAAGAAACAAGCCATTGTAAGCAGTGTTATATGAAGAAGATTGAAGTTATTAAAGAAGTTAACTAAAGTATTCGGTGTGCTCTTTAAACCTACTGCATCCATAGAGCGGCATTGGAGGAATTACAGAGTAAAGTCAGTCTAATCAAACAAAGAAACAGCAATTGCATAATTTTTCTAATGCCACAGCGCACTAGGCACCAAAGGGTGCTGCGCCTGCCACACACACCACACGCAGTTCCAGTGCAGTTTTGATGCCGTTTGCCATGTTCCAAGTATGGTTCTGTGCAGAAAAAAATGCAGCATGTTCTACTTTTTTTTTCACCAGAAACTGACTGGAACTGACTGCTCTGGTGTGAACTAGGACCATTGGAATACATGGAAAACACTGTGCATGCATTTTTGATGCAGAAATAAAAATGCACTGGACTGCATCTAGTGTGAACTAGCCCTTAAGAATAACTCCACTTTCTTGGGAAAAAATGAGAAAATAAAGAAAAATATATATAGCGTATACAATTGTGACTCAAGTCACATCGTAATTGAATGTTATTAAAAACTGACTTTCCTTTTCAATCTTCAGCTCTGTAATGTTCTATAAAATTCAATGCAATATGGCTACCTGGGGGTGTTCTGGTGTACAGAACGCCCTCTGAAAATGTAATTATCTGGCTGTAATGGTGATCCTATGGCTTTAGTATGATCTGAATTACTAATCCAGAACAAGTAGGCTGATCAGGAGTTCTAATTTCACTCTGACTTTACTTGCTGCATGCTTGTTTCAGAATATTGACACTAATCATATTCATATTTCTCACTGTACATATTCTTTCATACTACAGATTTTGACTTCGCAATGATTTTCTGTAAAAAGCTTCATAGAAAACATATACAATCAGGGTCCTTGGGAGATTAGGACACTTGAGGTGGATTTAGTTCATGAAAGTCACGGTTTAATTTTGTTACAGCATTAGTAAGGTATTAACTCATAACTGGCTAAAGTACAGGATTTTTGTTGAATTACTGCGCAGTAACCTTTGTATGATAAGTTAATTGAACTAATTGATTCCTAAAACCTAAATCCTAATTAATCCTATAGAAAGGGAAGAGTATCTGCAGAAAATCCCTTTTCTTTGCTGCTGATGAGTTGAACCCAGTGCTAATCACAGTGCTAAATGTTTAATTTTATATTGCCAGACCTGATCAAGCCTTTGCTGAATCCTCATATTATTACAGTATGCCAGATATGTGTCTCAGCATTCTCTGTGCTCGCAGTGCGACACATTTAAGGGGGCTGAGTATCAAAATATACTTCCAGAAATAGATGATGGCAATGCTGGGGAAGATTATCTTGCAACTTGCAACGTAGCAATTTAAGGTGAAGTTAGTAATCTTGAAGGTGGACCTATATAGATGATTATCTAAAATGTTTAGTGACTTTAGATATGCACATGTATTGAGAAAAAAGTGAAGAACTTGGGAGACTGGCTTCATTTCAGGAGATCCAAAGGCTTGGAAATATATTCTGATCAGCTTTGAGCTCTGCTACAGTACATAGACAAGAACTCTTAGGGATGCCAGAACAATGAACAATCCACTGTGATATTTGTCTAACATGTCATCTGCTTTGCCAGGTTTTAATGTACAAATCAAAAACAATCAAATCAAAAACATTAAAGTGTTACTAAACCTACAACAGTAAAATCAGTCTATATATGCAGTAAAGTATGCTTGTTATACTCGTCGTGGGACCTAAGGGGTTAATCCTCTGCATTGTGAAAAATGGCTGTTTGATCTTTTTTTCTCTTCTCCTCCTCTTTTTGAAATGTCTACCTGATATAGACTGAATCCATAGTCACATGCACATGCTCAATTTGGTGTGTATTGCTAGAGTGTTTTTTTTTTCTGGGGAGGGTGCGTGTTGTCAGCATAGGGCCAATCAGCACTGTCCAGACAGAGGGTCAGAGGTTTCACATCCTCCTAGAGCAGAAAGAAAACCCCTTCTACAAGCTTTAACCAGTGCTCTGCTGAAGTCACAAGACTGCTCTAACAGCCACATAGGACAGTTAGGGGAGAATGAAAACTCCTCCTACAAGGTTTAACCAGTGCTCAGCCGGACACTGATAGAAGACTGCTCTAACTGCTGATGAGAAAAGGTATTTAGAAGTTTATATTTACTAAAATAATTGCATTTCCATGTTGTGTGTACTGTGGGAGACCAGATATAGTGAATGCAGGATCCTGGGTTTAGTAACACTTTAAGGTAAAAGGCGTTGCTTCTTCTCCAAAGTGCCTTCCCAGCAACTCAATAATCCATGCTACTATCCCCATAGCAAAATGTCATGGCACCATGCAAATCTCCTGCTGTATTTTAATGGACATCCATCGCTGTATGGGCTTCTTAGGAGGAAAGCTTAAAAAAAAGTGGTACCTCCTTTTAGAAATTCTGTATATAGCCCTATAGAACAGACAGTGCACAGTCCACATGTGTTTATCTGCTTGCTTCACTGCAACCAGGAACCAGGAATCTTTATTCAGTGAAAAGACATAGAGGTTTACCATAGATGCAGATGCAAACTTATAAACACTGCCATCTACTGGTTGAAGAATATATCTAATGTAGTTGTTGCACAAAATACATGAACACTGTGTTCCAACTCCCCCCTCCTAAAACAAGTTGATTACACTATACTACATCAATAGAGTCTGAAATATTGAGTGAGATTCAAAAGTGATTGAAGTAGAACTTCAGCCAAAAATATATTTAACAGTTAACCACTTGCCCTTTCTGACCAGGCCATTTTTTGAGATATGGCATTGCGTTACTTTAACTGAGAATTGCGCGGTGATGCAATGCTGCACCCAAATGAAATTTATATCCTTTATTTCCCCACGAATAGAGCTTTCTTTTGGTGGTATTTGATTGCTGTGCATTTTTTATTTTTTGCGCTATAAAAAAAAAATAAAGTCCGACCATTTTAAGAAAAAAATATGTTACTTTTTTCTATTAAACATGTCCAGTAAAAAAAATTTAAAAATCTAATTTCGTCATAAATTCAGGCCAAAATGTATTCTACTACATGTCTTTGCTAAAAAAAAAATCCCAATGTGTGTAAATGAATTGGTTTACGTGAAAGTTATAGCGTTTACAAATGGCGGTATATACTGGGATTTAAAAAACATTTTTTTACTAGTAATGATATCAGCAACTTATAGCAGGACTGCGAGGGACATTCTGACACTGGGGGGAACTGACTTGGTGTCACTAACATCCCCAGTGACACCAATACAGTGATCAGTGCTAATAAAAAGCACTGAGACTGTACTAATGGCACTGGGCAGGAAGGGGTTAACATGTGGGATGATCAACGGGTTAACTGTGTGCTGTTTTACTAGGGGCTGTGTCTGTGTGCTTCACTGTAAGCACACTGCTTTTCATGGCTGTGCACAGCACAGCCATGCAAAGCAGTGTGTAGCAAAATATTTGGAAAATTTGGAAAATATTTGGAAATATTTTTTCCAAATATTTGCTCAATAGATCTATGGGTATATGATTGGATGTTGGCAGCTGCACTCACTTTAGGGATTTAGTTTTTATGTAGGAACGCAGGAGGTTTTCACATCTGTTAGTGTGCAGGAGCTGACAGGGGAGAGAACTGTTTTGTTTAGAAACAGTTCTCCCCCCATCGGAGATGCAATCACTGGCTGGGACGCAGTGATTGACAGCCACGGCCAAAAAAAAAAAAAAACCTTTTGTCTATAGATAAACATAATTATTGTAAAGCAAAAGTTCCTTATGTCTTTACTCTGGTACTTCTAGTAACTGGTTTGTTACATCCCATTCAAGTTAATAAAGCCACAGAGCAAGTGCATGCAATGCAATATCCTTTTGATGGTGAAAACAGACATATTCCCTCCCGGCCACCTGTCAACTGCCCTCTGAAAAGTGTTCTACCATGGAAAGTGTTTTGGAAGGGTGTCAAGGGCTATCTCACATCTGAATGAGCCGCAAGTTTCAAATTTTAAATTATACAGAACTGCTGTTGTACATCTAAGACCATTTGTCTTGGTTTATGTGGCCCATTCCAAAGCAGGCCATAGATGGATTGAAATTAATCAGGTTCAGCAGGGACCTGCCGAATTTAAATTCATGCATGGCCACTACAGTTGAACAAAAGCTGATCTAGTGATCAACCTCTATTCAAGCACCCTGTCAAGTAAAAGCCACTTGATCGGCCAATGAGTGCAGCGCTGATCTGTGTATTCTGATAGAAGAGGAGTCTCCTGTCAAAATACAATAGCACAGTGGGGAGGATTCCCCCATCCACCTCGAATGTGTGGATGGAGGAATCCGTTTTTCTCATTCAGCCCGCTGGCTGAACCATGTTTGGCCAGCTTAACCAGTTCCCTCCCAGCCAATAGCAAAATGATGGCAGAGTGGGACTTTCATTGGTCCGGATGGGCATCATATGACATCTTCCTGAATGGCCGCTGTGCTGCAGCAAGATCTGTCACCTGCTGTTTCCATTGGGCACAGCCGATGACAGTTCTGTGCAGTTGTCCGTTGCTGGTACCATGTGACCGCTGTGACCAATCACAGCAGGTCACATAACAATTGTAAACAATGGATGGCTTCCTTTCGAGCCATCCATTGTATACAATTGTGTTGCTAGGTGTGATTGGTCACAGTGATCACATAAAACAGACTGGGCAAATCATAGCCCATCTGTGTCATGTGATTAGCTGTGGCCATCACAGCAATTCACAAAAAAAACTGAATAAATCGATTTCATTTAGTTGAAAGCTTGCCTATAGCAGTGAAAATTCATTGCTATAGGCAATCATGATGTGTGAAAAAAAAATTCTGATCAATTGCCCAGAGTAGTACAATGTTACTATGGTAACATTATATTACTCTGGTCACAGTGTTTTATAAAAAAAAATGTAAATAAAAGGAAAAAATTTCCGAAAAAATAAAAACAAAAAATATTTTTTTTTTCATACTGTCACCAGTCAGTGTCCCTGATCACCGCCACACCAGTTATATGATGACGCTGAAATGCACTTTACAAGCTGGCCCAAACTAACTATATCCCTCACTAACATTTGAGGCCACTGGATATGCTGTATACAATTTATTTAGCTGAGGCTACATACAGTATATGGCACTGTGTTCCAGGTGCAATCCAAGACCTTCCCGTCTCATACCCGAAACACAATAGCATCTGTCTGAGTAGCGCTCAGGTAATCTTAGAAAGTGATGTAGTCAATCAAAATAATAGAACGCTTTCTCTGATTGGATGAGTCAGAGGTTGTGACATCATCAGCCCGCCTCTCTTAGACAGGAAGGTTGCACCCAGAACACAGTGCTATATGCTGTACGTAGCTTCTGCTACATACAGTTTATACAGCACATCCAACAGCCTCACATGTAAGTGAGGGACAAAGTTCATTTGGGCCACTTGTAAAGTGTAACTAAAGCTGGAGAGAAGCTTTAAGCAGGCTAGCTCAGTTAATGATTCATACTCTGCATGGTCTAGGGTCGTCAGTTGTGTACCCCAAGGTTCAGTGTTGGGACCCTTACTTTTTAATAAATTTATAAAAGATATAGGGTCTGGGATTAAAAATCCCATTTCAGCCTTTGCAGATGACACCAAGCTGTGCAGTGAAATAACGTCCTTACAGGATGTCTTCAACTTACAAGCTGACCTCAATGCACTGCGTAATTGGACAACTATGTGGCAAATGAGGTTTAATGTTGATAAATGTAAGGTTATGCACTTGGGGGACTAAGAATATGCATGCATCATACATACTAGGGGGGGTACAACTGGGGGAATCAATGGTGGAGAAGGATCTGGGAGTTCTGGTAGATCACAAGCCTAATAATGGCATGCAATGCCAAGCTGCGGTTTTCTAAAGCGAGCAAAATCCTCTCTTGTATTAAAAGAGGTATAGACTCCAGAGAGAGAGAGATATCATATTACCCCTGTACAAATCATTAGTAATACCTCATTTGGAATATGCAGTTCAGTTTTGGGCACCAATTCACAAAAAAAACCCATTGGGGAACTTGAGAAAGTACAGAGAAGGGCAACAAAATTGATAAGAGGCATGGAGGAGCTCAGCTATGAGGAAAGATTAGAGGAACTGAATGCATTCTTTCTTGAGAAGAAGAGATTAAGGGGGATATGATCAACATGTATAAATACATCAGTGGATCATATAGTGAACTTGGTGTAGAGTTATTCACCCTGAGGTCATCAGAGGACAAGGGGACACTCTACGTCTGGAGGAAAAGAAATTTAATCTCCAAACACAGAAAGGTTTCTTCACAGTGAGAGCTGTTAAAATGTGGAATAGACTCCCTCAAGAGTTGGTTCTGGCTAGCTCAGTGGATGTAACTATGTACCATTACAGTCTGCTCTTTTACCATAATTCCCTTTTCCTACTGAAATCTAGTTGCTATAGACTGACACACATAATGGTTCCAGCATTGGTTAGTAATTTCATAATTTTATACAATGGCAAAAAAACCCAAGGCCGCATGTACAACTAAACTTATAGACTTCAAATACCATACAGCCATCATGCTTAATACGTGCAATAGCTAAACTTTAAATTCCCTCAAAGTGACTACAAGCCAAGCTACAGCACTGTGATGCATCCTTGTCATACATAATGGTCTCATTAAAAATGATGTATTTTTCTCAAAAGCAACTCTACACAAGCTTTCAAATAAACCTAGAAATGATTTAATGTGAGAAGTAAATGCACTGTGAATGGATGTTTAGACACCTGTTGTCATTGTACTGTAGGTGGAGGCAGTAAGTTCAGGCAAACAGCTGCTTCACACATATCCATCATCACTTAAATACTGTTAACCTTCAGCTTCATCCTCCCTTCTTAATGTGTGACACATCATACTAGGGACACTCGCTTCTAATAAAGACAGCTGAAAAAGTAATTTAGGTAAAACATTCAAGTAATATCTTAATCTTAATTGCTTTTAGTTACACTTTAAATATTTTCTGAATTATGAAAGGTTTTGCTATCCCAGGAAACCAAAACTATCCTTCAAAAGCCCAATCTAGTTCAAGAAAATATAAAATACTTTCTTTCAGTCTGATCATTTTTTTTTTGGTGAACAATGGTTATATAGGTTGGTGAAGAAGTATAAATGTAGTGACAAAATATTTGTTAAGTGGATTTCTGTTTTATTACCGGTGGAGTAACATTTGTAACTGCTGCATATGAAATTCTCATTGCTTATTTAGTATATTGACTCTGCTTCAGTCATCTGATGATGTTCTTAATATATACTGTAAAAGGCTGGCTGCTTGTGGCGCTGTTAAAGTTTATCTAAACCTAATCAATAACATCACATACTGTATAAGCGTAATTATGTTAATGTAGTTTCAAAAGTCCTCTTCAATATTTTGAAATCTGCAGTTTTCATAAAAAGGAGTACTTTTTGTTATACGTGGTCATCACTCATTGTTTTTGTCATTGTTTTCCAGTTGTGATTCTGTGTTGTCTCCCTGTTGCACGGGTTTCCATTGGAGATTACAGTTGTCAGGCATTGCACACTGTTGTCACCCTCAGAAACGTTCCCCAAGGAATGCCATGCAATCTATCCAAGAGTTCATGCATGTAATCATGAAGTGGCTGCAAAGAGGCTGCAGGAGAACAGCAGCAAGGAGTTACAACAAGAATAAAAGCAAGGAAAACAAGTATTTTATTTTTTTTATGCAATTGTTTATTATAAACAGTGCTTTAACACATTTTATTCAGCTACATCTATTTTAATAAAGATGTCTTTCAGTAGGAAGGATGGGTCAAAATGTTGCTGTATGCTTTCTATACTGTACATCTTGCTTGTCACTTTTGTGGAATATACAGTGATGATGTTTGTAGGGCCCTTTTAAGAGTAGGAACCACACCCACTTGTGATTGGTGGTTGCCTTGTCAACAAGCCAGTGGACTGTGGGATGTCTTCTCCTGGGATTCCAGGCTTGAGACACCCAAGGTGACCTGAAACACCTGTGGAGTTACTGGACATGGTGGCCTTTTCTGTGTCCCAAAGTTTTGGGCTTGTTTTGAAAAGTATTCCCTCCACTGAAGAGTCACCTATACCAGCAATAGTGGAATCAAAATTGTTGGCAGCACACGTATTGGTCTGAGTGGCATAAGACCTGGAGGCCTTGAGTTTCTTCTCAGAGGAGTTTAGATCTGTGGAGTTTCCACTGGGACCAGATGATGGTGGTGAGATAGTGTCTCCAGTGGCCCAAAGTGATAAGAAATCCACCCACATTACCCAGCATAATATGTGCTAGGTGACGGGGTCTCACTTTCTGAGTATGACTCTGCTGATAACTTGAAGGAGTTCAGAATTATGGCAGCTGAACTGGTAGAGGAGTCCATTTTGTGTGCTGCAAATCCAACACTAGGCAGCCAAGTGGGAGATATGTA